TTTATTTATGGAGTTAATCAATATATGTGAATGAGTCAACTAAAAGCATAAATTTGCTGCGGTAATACATTCACTTGGTTGTATACTTATAAATAAAGAATTGATTAACACAAATAAATTCTGATATATTCATTGAGATCCTGTACAAAAGTAGAGAAAGGTAAAAGAAAAATTAAAATATTAACCATCTATTGAAGTTTAGACAATAAATAAAATTTAAAAAAAACCGTCGCGATGCATTTTTTATCTCTGTATCGAAATTGATATCCATTTTTCTTCCCATAAATGCAATTGTGATGGTAATTTCATCGAATATTTGGCAGAAACTCAACTTTTCATGAATCTCGTTTAGAAAGCGATTACATCGTCCCGCCAAGATGCTCCCATTAAAATTACCTTCTTATTAAAATTCCACGAAAGTACTTCTAATTAGCTCACGATTTGCTTCTTCCACTATGGTCGAACTTTGCACGTTGGCTGCAAGACTATCTAAAAGATTTGGAACAAGTGGTTTTTAAAAGTGTTAAGTAACACGTATTCTTTCTTCGCTCGAGAGAATTCTGAATCGATTACATTCTAGCTGAAGTTAATTGTCGATTTTGCAAGTATATTGAAAGTAAACGCAATTAATGTTATTTATTTTGCAATTTACTGTTTACTCCATTTTTTTTTAAAGAGATTCTAATTTTTATCTACAGAATAACTTCTATATTACGTAATTATTATTATATAAAAAGTGTTGTATTAAATGATTAATTAAAATCATCTATAAGTAATAAAATTTTATTGAAATTGTCGAAATGATTAGTTTTTATAAAATCAATTCAATAATTAAATGTTATTGCTACAAAAAATTTATAGTGCAGATAAGAATTTTATATCATAAAACAATTCATACTGCAGTGTTCACACACGCACACACATACATAACACACAGTGAAGCAATTGTCCGAAAACGTGCAGAGTTTAAAATCCAACAGAACTTGGATTGCAGGTACCGAGCAGTGCAGTACTTGCTGCAGCAACTACACCTGTTAATACTTCAGGAGCTTACCTCTGTAGTAATTAGTCGCCCGCAAACGAGTGTTTAGAATCGAGTGTACCGTTCTTCGCATTAACACGTATCGCATTCATCTATCTTATCCCCGCCACATTTAGCGGTACGTTAACAAAAAAGTCGCATAATTTATTTTAATTTTATCCTCTGCGCGTATATTTTGGGAATTTTTTGCGTTCTGGTCTTAACATGCCATCCTTTATTTCGCTCGGCGAAAAACGAGCTTGCGTCGAGCTTGAAATAAATAACGGCGGTTATGTCTCTAAACAGAGGTGCACAAAACGTGAAGTTTATTTTTAGGTGTTTAACGCATCTCTTTACATGTGTGTTTTACTAATTTTGCATTTTTCTACGGGGTAGAATTATAGCACGGTGTTACTTCAGACATCGAGCGAGACATGATAAGGAAATAAAATCCGAAAACTGAATCCTCGCATACGCGAGATATTTGAAATGCTGACGATACGAAAAACTTGTACTAAATTTTAATAAATATTTTAAATAATATTAACTAAATATTTAATAATAAGTAAATATAAACATACTTATTTTGTGTAGGAACTACTAATTTAATTTAAATATTTTTTTATTGAGTAAATATCTATTTACTGTAAGTAAATGTTTAGTTAATATTATTTAAACAAATATTTATTAAAATTTAGTAAATTTTTTTTCAGTGCATTAAGTAAAATGAACCTCGTTTTCCTTAAAAATCTTCGTGAAGATGAATTATTGTCTGATACGAAAAATTCGTTTACATTAAAAGACCCTTAAGGATTCCAATGCTCCGTTATACTGACGAGATAACGTGAGAAATACGAAAGAGTACATACAACAAGGCTATACTTACGGTGATTCAGAATGGAGTTTTTCTCGGCAAAAATTTCAAAAGAAACGACGCAGATATATAATGTTACTTCGATATAAAAACTGTAATTTTAGAAAATTCTAAACCAGGATAAGCATATGTTTTTACTGTGACTCCGGATCTTTAACATTATATATACCTAAGTTTTCACTTCTGTAAAGCTGGCCCCTCATTTTCAAAATTTTGAAAAAATAAGCAGAGTTCTGATTGTCCCCCGAAGAGTTCTAGAGTTCTCTATCAATTTTAGAAAGAGTTCGATTAAAGCAGTGAAAACACCATTTGAAGTTTCGGAGTGGCTAAGTTCACGATTCCGAAACTTTGAAGGGCTTTAACTTCTTTATCATTCATTTTAGCACTTTGATTCATATTGGACAATCGATAGAACTCTTTGGGGGACAACCAGAACTTAAAAAAAAAACCGGATTTCCGAAAAAATTTTTTTTCAGATTTCAGCCATTCTGTTATGAGTTCTCTGTCAATTTCGGGTTTTTCAATGACGTTTTTTTTTACTTTCTCGAACGGAACTATTTCTTAAACCTATCAGGAACTCTGGAACTATTGGAAATCTATTTAGAACTCTCAAAAAAAATTATTTTTTTTAGTAATGGAGGCTAGCTTCACAGGAGTTAAGTTTCCAAATAATTAAGGTTTGCGTCAAGCTTTCGTTAAAGTAAAGTCTAATGTATTTCTGTATCAAACTAAAGATTGAGATTGAGATTGTGAAATGACTAATCAAAGCAAAGTTTACTAAACTTGATATTGATTTTTTTCATATTTCTGAGATAAAATTTATTTAAAATACATATAGTTATATATTATTTCAACATCTAACTTTGACCAATAGGCGCTTCTCGTACTCAGTTGATTGATTTTTCTTTTGATTGATTAAATTCAATCTCTAATCTAGGTAAGTTTAACTGAAATTAATCGTATTGCAATTTCGTCATTAATTTGTATCCATAAAGTGCTCTCTTCAGTAAACTCTTCATTTTAGCTAGTCGCCTAAAAATTATTTTCCCGTAGATAAAATTGAAACAATTACGAAATATATCGACAAATGTGGAAGCATATCATGTATAAGTACCTATAATCGACGACGGTGCTTATCGGGCTGAATCGATATTTATGGCGGCCCAGGTGCGACGCGATCACACGATTGTCCGTTCCTTAGAATCTGCCTACGATACAGCGTGACTGATTGCATGGTGTGGTGTGTGTGCGATTGGAACGCAAATCCGTGCATCACGCGGTGTATTAGGTCGGAATAAATTGCCGATTGAATGTACAATGATGTTCGGGAAACCGAACTACCACTCGTCACTCGCGATCGTCATCGACCCGTAAATTGTTTTGTTTATACATCCGTAGGAATTTGTTCTAAAGAATGTTCCACATTAATCATAAATTACAATAAATCACACTTTAGAATTTAGATTAGCAGAAATCACCTTTGTAAAGTTGGCCATTGTTAAAATTTTTTTTATATAAAATCACTCAATTTTTCGATTCAATTTTATATTTAAAAAAAAAAATTAATTCTTGTTTACAGTAAATAATAAATGAGTTTTTTTTATTTGTAATAATCATTTAAATATCATATATTTTAAGATTGTTATCAAGAAGATATTCTTTGTTAAAGATGGCTAAACAGAATGATATTTTTCTGTGTATAATTTTGCATCTTAAAAATCATGAACTGTACTTTAAAACTTCTCTCTATCAGTAGAAAGGGGGAGGGCACCTATTTTAAACACAATACAAATATCTTCTTTAGATTTTACTTTCAGAAGTTAGACTCTGTTTATAAAGAAAAATGTAGATGTTTGCTTCTTGAAAATCGAAAAGCCTTCTTCGAAATTCAAATCGCTCGCCCCTTTTTGTTCACGACGAAACCGTGGTTCTACGAGGAGAGGTTCAGTTGCGACACACCGGTGTATACCCGTGTGTCAAGATCACCAGAGCGTGGAACGTCCGGTAGATACGGGCGGGTGCACGTGTCGGCTTTACGTGCGTTGCATGTGACTCGGCACCTCGGCATCCGAATGCGGCCGTTCGCTCGCATTCTTTCCTCTCGTTCGTCGGCCTCAGTTCAGTCGACCTTTCTGGAGCGCTATAAATTATTACGCCTCTCTTATGCACTCCCGATGACTCAGGCTGTCGGCCATACGGAATTCACTTGTAATCACATGAGATTACGGTCGAATTTGTCACACATCTCAAAAATCAAAATTCTAAAGTTATATCGCGCCGTCGTCTTCTTACGCTGCAATTAAATATATTAATTCATTACTTTCTAATGTTAGGTTCTTCTCAGACAATAAAAAGTGTCTAAAATTAGGTCATAAAACGTTTTTTGCGTCTAAAAGATGACTTAAAGACGTCTTAAGTAATAATTTTAGACTTTATGTTGTTTGGGTCCTTACTCATTTTCTTCCTTTCTCTTTGTCATTTTTTTTTATCAAGTCTTATTTTTTATAGAATCAACCAGTGTTATATTGATATTCTTATTTAGATTCTTATGTTATTCATATTAGATCAGACTAGAGATTGAGATTGAATTTGAGAATATTGAATTTGACCAATCAAAGCATAGTTCCTTAAACTTGATATTGATTTTCTTTTGTCTGATGGATTAAATTCAATCTCAAAATCTTTACTGATATATAAGACTATCTAAGGTCATATTATTTTACGATTCATTTCTTTGTTCCATTCACCGTGTTTTTGTATTATAATCTTTTTCTTGTGTGCTGATTGTTTTGTTTTGGCTACAAATAGACATCATGACAATGGCTTTGCATCTTATCTTTGGCATATTATATTTTATTTATGCTCTTTATAGTTATTCGAACTATTTATAGATCATTATCTTTTATGTATACGCAATAAAATTATTATTATTATTATTATTTATCCATGAGGTGATATTATGAATTGCAAATTCGCTGCGAGTCCGTAACCTATGCGAAATGCAAGCAATTGCAAGACTAATTTACAATACGTGGGCGCGATGTTATAAGGTTTCTGTTAAACCACGAGATTGATCTGAAGAAGAAAAAACATTTCTGTTTGCAGAACCACTTCAGGAGCCACGTTTCATCAATCAACCGTCCAGTAGTAGCAATATACTTAGCGAAAATCGCACGAAGTTTCTGCAATGCCAAGCGAGAGGTAAGAATCATAACCGTAACATTTAATCTGAAAATTAACATAGAAATAAAGAGAGAGAAAGCGAGTTCTCGAAAACTTGTCGGCGGTAATGAATTTTGGTACTTAAGTATGCAATCGATATTGCATTGAAAAAATAAAATATAAATGGGCGAAAGAGACAAGTAAGGACCACAACAGCATCAGAGATAAGGTTTGCCACATGGCGTTTCATTGTCCTGCAGAAATATCGAATAACAGGCGGATAAGACGATGGTCAGATGAAGCCGTATCAATGCCCAACATCGTGTAATTCAATCGTATGACCCTGTACTAATAGTATTAGATAACTCGCGAGCTGGCAGCATCGTCCGTGACTTTGCATGGAATTATTGACGATTTTCTTCACATTAATTTATTCTTTTTTATTAAAGATCATTTAAATAATTATTTTTACGTAGTTCAAAAAAATTGTAGATCGCAGGAAATGTATTTATTAATGATGAGAGAGACGATGTACATTTTCTGTACATTTTCTTGATAATCTTCACATAATTTTTAAATTTCTTTCCTCTTCATCTTTCAATTAATTTTCAAACTAAATAATAAGATTATGCTAAACACTTGAGAAAAATTACTCAGGCATAAACAAACAACTTTCGTATCGTCTTTAGGCAATCCTCAACCAAAGTACAAATGGTTCAAAGACGGGATGCCCCTCAACAACGAAGTCACCTCGGGCGAGCCTTATTATCGTATTCTCAGTACGCGGCGCGAGGATGCTGGGGTGTATCATTGCGTCGCAACGAACGACGTGGGGTCCATATTCAGCGATCGTCTCGTCTTCGCCGTAGCTTGTAAGTATCTCAACGAATACCACATCAGTACATCCACATCGTGGATTACGAATCGACGTTCCAATTTGCTTTAGATATGGGTACGTTCGATGATCTCACGGAGAAAGTAGTGACCGTCGAGTCGGGTAGCGCCGCAATTCTGGAACTACCCCCGATTGAGAGCCATCCTCCCCCTGCCGTAACATGGCTCTCCTCGGACGGGACTCTTCTGTACGGCATAAAGTACGCTACGACTGATCACACATTGATCATACTAAACGCTTCGGAGAATGACATGGGCTCCTACAGGTTTGTATGATTGATGCAATCAGCGCGCAACTGTAGCTCATCTCATTTATAATAGCTCGTCCTAGTAGTTAATCCCTTGCTTCAATTGCGGCGTATATGAATTCATTCTTTCAAAATTTTCGACCGACGAAGTTTAAACTTATATCTTTTTAATGTTTATGATGATACAGAGCGAAGGCTATTAACACTCAATTGGGCACGGAGGTGAGCAGTCCGTTTTTTAAACTGCAAGTTATCGGCGATCCAAATGCGGAAGTAGCCCCTACCATAATCATCAAGCCGCAGGACACGCAGATAATCAAAGATCAAGATGTCACGCACATATATTGCATCGCGAATGCTAGGTATTCGCGAATCTTTGTTTATTATTCTTTTATCATTCATCATTGCATGATGATTTTTCTTCTCAAAGCACAGACAATGTTTTCGTTCAAGAGATTTGAAATTGAAGTTTTAATATCGAGGTTACATCAATTTCAGATCCCTTCATGAATTAAGGACCTTATGGATGAAGGATGGCATTCCGATCGAGAACTCTAGAATATCGTATAGCTTTAATGATTCGTGGAACAGAACGCTCGCATTGATCTCAGCCAACATAACTTACACAGGAATTTATTCTTGCCATGTGGATTTGCGGAGTGGTGGTTATCCGACCATAAATGCGAGCGCTAAAATTGTTGTATATGGTAAGCATTTTCGATGACAAATAATTCAGTAAATAGCGATAATATAATTATGTTTTAAAAAATAAGAATACGCGACACACTAAAGATTTTAAGTATTTTAACAGATCTAAATCTTTCCTAAAATTCCCATCATGTTTTCCTAGAAAAACCAACATTTATAACGGAATTGAAAAGGGAAACTCTGAGCGATTATGGGTCCACAGTAACGTTACCGTGCGACGCTAACGGTGTGCCACCTCCTACAATCACTTGGTTCCGTAATGCCGAGCCTGTCAATCATTTACTGGGAACCAGGTACTCCTCGGCAAATATTTGCTTTTGTAGTCATTAGAATGAGAGAGAGAAAGCAAGAGAGAGAGAGAGAGAGAGAGAGAAAGAAAGAGAGAAAAAGAAAAATCTTTTAATTATTACTGTTTTAACTGTTATTAGTTCTGTTGGAACTTTTTTCTGTAAATTTAAAATTAAAATTGTTTTATACATAGAAGAGATATTGATCAGTCATAAATAAATTTTTCTACTCTAGTAAATATTTTTATTACAAATTAAAAAATATATAATATTAAAAAATTCGTAGAAAGTATAATTTGTATGAAGTGAGGTAAATTAAATTTGGAACATATTTTACAAAAAGATATTTAAATCTATTTTCGCCTCTAAAAAGGAATCGAAATTCGAAGATTATTTAATCATTTTACTATTATTGTCCTCATGTTTTATTGTCCACAGATACATAATGGAGGAAGACGGCTCACTGACGATTAAGAAATTAAGTATGGATGACTCGGGAATGTTTCAGTGCCTCGCGTCCAACGAAGCCGGCGAATCATCTAGTTATACCTGGTTGAAAGCGAAAAGTGAGTAATTTTTCATTATTTCTATAATATATCGCGGAATTCTAAAAATAGTGAAATTATTACCCAGTCCGTACACAGTGTTCGCAAAACACGCGACCATACAATCTCTTTTATTTTATAAACCCAAACTTTTATAAGATGGGAAATAATGGAAAATATCATAAATACGCTTGCTAGTATATAATCAGTTTTGAGAGAGAGACAAAGAATTTAAAATTTATATATTGTTTCTTTGTTGTCATTTTTGACCGGCATAATATAAATTACAACGTAATTTCTTATATTAATAGTTAGTAACATTGACAAATTATACACAAATATAAATATTATACAGATTTTGTTTAAAGGGAATCGCGTTTTTCGCGGACACTTCGCGTAATAATGTCGCAAGCAGAGTTAATATAAATGACGTGTTTTTTGTGTGCGGCACAGAAAAAGGATTAGGAAGCAGATTGAGAAACAGAGTTGCCCGCTGGGCGGCTGGCTACAATGTAGTCAGAGTCCGCCAGTCTGATCGCCGTTTTATGTTCTCTCAATATCCAAACAGTAAGGAATAATGCAGCGAGATTTCCACACTTTTCTTTTTCATTATCATTTTCGGCACATGCTTGAAGACTGCGTATAAATTTCACTTCACGATTTTTGCTTCTAGCAAATTTTCGCATAACTCTGATAAGGCAAACAGCACCATGTGAATATCAGCGTTTTAGAATATTTATTATTACTCCATATTCATAAAATTTTAGCGCAAGACATTGATTAATTGTGCGTTCTTATGTGATTTAATAATTTTAATTGTATATAGTTTAGCGTTTTTTTTTTTATAGAAAGTAGAATGAATGCCGTACGATATTTTTTAAGAAATATCAAACGAAACAATTTGTCGTGTTTTGTAATTATTCTTAGCACGCGTCTGCGACATTGCAAGTAATATTGACACGCACGTCCTGTTTCCCTATATATATTAGGGATATATTTCCAATAAGATTCTATTATTTTTTTTCTGGATGTCTCATGATAAATGCTATTAGTATTTAGCATTTATTTTATATGGCATTTATCATGTACTTAGTTATAAGTTTGCGTAGTTTTGCTAAATATGTGTTTGTGTTATGCTTAAAACATAAGCTTGTATTTAAAATCAGCATAAAGAAATAGAGAAGAGGTGAGAATTACAGATGGGTTTAATATTGCAAGCGACGATTGATCACCCCTTTTTTCATTGCACGTTGTGAGATAACATTAGATATAGAGATTTGACGTTAATAACGAAACTTCTGTCTGTAATTTACAGCATCTGGACCAATAATGGAAAACGGACCACAGAATTTAACAGTATTAGACGGTAAAGATGCAACTCTAAGTTGCAATGCGATCGCGGCGCCTAAGCCAAATGTCACCTGGTATTATAACGGTAATTAAATCAGAACTAATTATTATTGTTATATTATGTATGTGTATATGTATACAATAGAAATATGTTATAAAATTTTAATTCAGTTGCTATAGTTTTATTTGTATGCGTCATTTTATAAAATTAGAATACACAAGATTAATATTATTACCAAACGTCCGTTTATGTAACAAATGTTTACATTTAATTGCAACAGATACAATATCTGTGGAGATCGCTGGGAGAGTACAAGTCTTGGACAACGGCGATCTTTTAATCGCAGCGGTGAAACCGTACGACGCGGGAAAATATACTTGCATCCGCGCGAACGAAGCCGGTTCTGTCAATGGATCGGCATACTTAACCGTTATAGGTGATTATTGAGACAAAATATTTAAAAACGAAGATCGAGCAAGTCATGAAATCATTTTTCTTAAGATAGAAATCGGTTTTTTTCTCAAACTTTAGTTATAGATGCATTATGCAGTTTGTCGTATATAATCTGCATCTGTTACAGTTCGGACTCAAATTATCCATCCACCTGTTGATACATCCGTGCTTCTCGGGCGTACCGCCGAATTGCAGTGTAAAGTTTCGAATGATCCCAGCATCGTATACGATATGGCATGGTTTCATAATGGACAGTACGTATAAAAAGAAATATTATGCAAATAATATCAATTTAAAGTTTTGAAATCAGAAATTTAATAAGTTTTTTTTTTAATGTATCTATGGTATTATTTTCCGAAACAACGAATTAATTAAAATCTGATCGACTTAAGATATTTAAGAATTATTTACATTGTCTTGATTTTATTAAATTTATCAATTAAATTGTTGATTTATAATTCCAGAAAAATCACTTAGATTTTAGTGATTCTTCCGATGCTTGAAAATCTTAAAGTGATACATTCTATACGTTATTGCAGAGTAATAAATACGCAAGCGAGTCAAAGAGTGAAAATGCGGTCAGACGGCACTCTCGAGATCGTTACCGTTCGAGCTTCCGATGTGGGCGAGTATACATGCTCCGTGGTGTCGCCGGGTGGTAACGAAACGCGATCTGCTCGTCTGAGCGTGATCGAATTGCCGTTCCCACCGATCAACGTCGTGGCCACGCGGGTCGAGAAGATCTCGCCGCGCACAATCAATGTCACGTGGGTACCCGGCTTCGACGGCAATAGTCCTACGAAAAAATTTATAGTCCAGAGACGAGAGGTGTCCGACCTAGGTAAGTAGTCTCCAAATATAAAAATTTAAACATAAACATTTACTGTAAACGTAATAATTAAATTAAATATATTAGTTATACTTATATTTTCTGATATATATATTTCTTAACGTAATTATGAACGTTATTACCATTATGTATGAAAAATATTACAAATTTTTTTAATATAAGTAAATCGATATTATATTTTTTATGTTTCTGTAACATAAAAAATATAATTCACTGTTATATTGCAAATAGGACCAATACATGATCCAATATTAAACTGGATCACCGAACGCGATAATGTGTCTGCGACCAGTCGATGGATATTGTTGAATAATTTGAAAGCCGCAGCATCTTATCAATTTCGTGTTAGCGCCGAGAATAGCGTCGGTGAAGGTCCATCGTCAGCAGCTAGCAATATCGTTGTCCTACCCCAAGAACGTAAGTGATTAGACAAAATTAATCAAGTTATAATAGGAAAAAAAAACAATATAATATGTCTCTGTTGTATTTTCACTAAAATATAGGCAAACTTATGGCTCGACTCTGATGTGTATGTTGACTGGCAACCTCCATTAGAAGAATACCGAAACGGCCATATCTTGGGATATATACTGAGATATACGCTTTTCGGATACAATGATAGCCCATGGACGATACAAAATATTACCAATGAAGCGCAAAGAAATTATCTCATTACAGATTTAATCACATGGAAAGATTATGAAGTGCAAATAGCGGCTTACAATGAAAAGGGCGTGGGTGTATATTCAAAGGGCTTGCAAATAAAAACCAAGGAAGGAGGTAATTCACGTTAGGAATTAGAATGTTATTCTATAGAACGTTATAAATTAGTTAAAGTGAATAATTTTTTATAGTCCCAGAAGCACCTCCCACAAACGTGAAAGCGAAAGCGATTAATTCAACAGCGGTAAAAGTTTGGTGGAAGCCACCGAATCCTCAGAAGATCAATGGAATTAATCAGGGATACAAATTGCAAGCCTGGATTGGCGACAATTTTACAGATACGACTGAATATAAATCGATGACTGTGCCGCCGAGTTTATTCGATCCGCTCGCCGAGCAGAACGCTATTATGACAGGTTTAAGAAAGTACACTTTGTATAATATCACGGTGCTCTGCTTCACCGATCCAGGTGATGGTGAAAGGAGTTCGCCTGTCGAAATTCGCACTCGTGAAGACGGTACGTTTATTTACTAATTAGAAGATAATTTCTCTTTGGTGTATATTTTGGTTCTTCATTTAGTAAAAATAAACTTGTTATAAAAAAAACATTATTTCTATATATTATGATTTTTACAGTACCTGAAGAAGTGGAAAATTTACAATTTGAAGATATCAGCGATCGTGCGCTAACAGTTAAGTGGTATCCCCCCAAAGAAACCAATGGTATATTGACACATTATCAACTGAAATACATGATTAAAGACATTCCGGATTCTTTGCGCGTTGAGAACTTCACGGCTGATGTGTTATCGACCAAAGTAGAACATCTTCAGGTAATTATCGATTTCAAGCAGCACGAAATTATAAAAGAAACATAATGAAAAGTCTAAAAATTAGAAGTCATGAAAAAGGTAACTTAAAAGATAAGAATTAAATATGACTATTGCTCATTTTTGTTTTTTCTTCTTAGGCACTGACTCACTACAAATTTGAAGTGACTGCTTGGACATCGATTGGACCTGGCAAATCAAAAATAGCGACCATACAATCAGGCGTCGAACCGGTGCTACCAGAACCACCCACGAAGTTAGCGTTATCCAACATAGACGCATTCTCCATTGTGTTGCAGTTCACGCCAGGATTCGATGGAAATTCGTCCATTACGAAGTGGACAGTGCAGGTTAATTAATCTATATAAATGCTTTCTTTAAAAAAGTCGGAGATTGTTATTTATTGCATCTTTTCACGTGTAATAAAACTTTTTAACCAATGAAAATTCTATTGAAACAAAATTTATTTTATATCAAACAATATATTATCTGTTTGCTCTTTTAAGATTCGATATCTGAAAAGTATTACGCTAAAATATTTTGTAAAATTTATTTTTAAGACATACGAGATTCGATGTGATGGAATGACGCGATGGATAGAAGATAGAAAATAAATTAGAAGAAATAATATGTGAATTACTATTTCTTAGGCACAAACGGCGCGAAACTCGACGTGGTACACTATTTACGAAGTATCCGATCCCGACGCCAGTACGATCACCGTTGACGGTTTGACTCCTTTCATGCAATACAAGCTTCGTTTGATCGCAAACAATGTCGTCGGTGCCTCAGAGCCTTCTGAGCCGACCAAAGAGTTTCAGACGATTCAGGCACCACCCTCGCACCCTCCGAAAAACGTCACGGTTCGCGCGATGAGTGCCACCGAATTACGCGTTAGATGGATCGTAAGTATCGTTATTGGATCGTTATGTAAAAAATATAATTTTTCTATTAATCATCACTACTAAGAATATCGATTAAAGATATTGTATATCAATATAGATTATACTATGTATAATATACATTACATATGTATAAGAGTTATACTGTTTTCTATGTAGCCATTGCAGCAAATAGAATGGTATGGAAATCCACGAGGATACAATGTTACTTATACGGAAGTACGATCGAACATATCAAAGAGTAGTATTATCGAGGATCACACTGCGAACTCGTACATTTTGGAAAATATGGAGGAATTTGCTGATTATGAAATAGTGATGCAAGCATTCAACGATGTTGGCTCTTCGGCGGCGAGTCCAAAGGCTATTGAACGAACTCGTGAATCAGGTGAATCTTTCAAATATAATTGAACATTATTAGTCAAGAAGGAACCAACTCTAAGAAGCAATTTTTCAAATATAGTTATTTTAGATTTTTGAAAGATATCAGAGTGTTTAATGTACATTTCTAAAAATTGATTTGATACTAGTTTAATTATTTTATATTGTTGAAACTCAAACATTTGCGAAACAGACGACATAAGATCACTTTTAAACATTTTCTACACAATTTCATAAGCTTTACAAAGATATATAATGTAATATTTTTTAGTTCCTTCCTTGGGACCGATAAACGTAGAAGCAAACGCAACTTCCTCTACGACTATTCTGGTGCGATGGGGCGATGTACCCGTGGAACATCAAAATGGACAGATCGAAGGTTTTAAGGTATACTACGGCGCGAATTCCAGATCAACTTTTCAGTACAAGAACATTCCCAGCAATACCACTTTCACAACCACTTTAACGGAACTTCGCAAGTTCGTCCAGTACCATGTGCAGGTTTTAGCCTACACGAGACTCGGTGATGGAGCACTGAGTACTCCACCTGTGAGAGTCCAGACCTTCGAAGACAGTTAGTGTACTTATTGCAATTGAACCTTTGCTGACGACATCGAAATAATATTACATTATAGATAGATTATATTTTAATCATATAATTGTTATATGTTATTTATTAAATTTATTGTTTTGTATACATGTGAAATGTATATAAAATTATAGTGCAAAGCTAAAAAAATAAGATTCCATGATATTGTTATAATATTCTATTTTGTACACAGCTCCTGGTCCACCGTCTAATGTATCTTTCCCCGACGTGAGTTTAACCACAGCGCGCATTATTTGGGACACACCAGAGGATCCTAATGGGGAGATCCTCGCGTACAAAGTCATGTTTAACTTAAACAACAGCCAAGATTCTCATTTTTCTAGAGAATTTCCAGCGTCAGATAGAACATTCAGGTACAAAGATTTTTTCCTATTTATCCATCTTACTGGAATTTTATAAACCCAACATTTAAATAATTGATCTCCGTTTTAGATTGAGAGATTTGTTAGATGTATTAGGATTACATCTAACAAATAAATGAATTTTTGAATAAATATCGCTATAATTTTACCCATTGCAGAGCCATCGAACTCGAATCCGAAAAGTATTATATGTTCTCCGTAACGGCACAGACGAAATTGGGTTGGGGTAAAACAGCTTACGCGCTTGTATTTACCACGAACAATAGAGAACGTCCTCAAGCACCATCGGTACCGCAAGTGAGCAAGTCGCAGATTCAGAGTCGTCAGATAACGTTTAGCTGGACACCAGGCAGAGACGGTTTTGCACCATTAAGGTAGAAACATCTTTCTTGCATATTGGGATTTTTATTAAACTGCATATTAATCCCTCTTTTTGCTCCGATAGATACTACACAGTGCAACAGTCAGAAAATTCTGGACCATTCCAAATTATTCCCGAAAGAGTGGAACCCATTCTGACATCTTACACGGCTAACAATTTAAAGCCTTACACACACTATCAGTTTCGTATTCAGGCTACCAACGACATAGGTCCATCAGAGTGGAGCAGTGAGTCTGCTCAAGTACAAACTCTGCCTGCAGGTGTGTATCAAAAATAAAATAATATGAAACTCTCAATGAAATATTAAAAAGGAAATATTTAGAAAAATTAAGAAAATCATGGATTAGAAATTGAAGTTAGAATTAGCAAAAATATTACATTTTTATAGCGCCATCAAAGGGTGTCACCGGTCTGAAAGTTGTCCCGATAACAACATCCAGTGTTGAGGTTCATTGGAACATGATCGACGAGGTACATTGGAGTGGCGATTACGAAACTGGTGGTTACCGTGTTGTTTATCAGCCTGTATCAGATTTCCCAACGCCTCTTCAGGCGACGCCGAAAGAAGAGATTCTAGGAATTAAAGTGTGTATAGATATCCCTTCTTTATATGTCAATTTAAATTTTATAATGTAATTTATTGAAATTAATTGCAGTATTTTATAAATTTGGTATGGCTAACATAATTCATTCTTGTTGCAGCAAACTAAAATGGTCTTAAGCGACTTAACGGAGGATCGATATTATGAGATTGTAGTGCTACCATTTAATTCAGAAGGTGAGGGCCCGCCGAGTCCACCAGTCACTGTGTACGTGGGGGAGGCAGTTCCTACGGGGGAACCCCAACATCTAAAAGCTGAGCCCATTTCTTCCACCGAGGTTCATTTGCACTGGAAACCTCCTCAAGCTAATATGCAAAATGGCGATTTATTAGGATATAAAGTAATAATTATTTCGCTCAGTTACATTAGTAATAGATTAATCACTTTATATACATTTATATAACAAATATTCTTGTCTTTATTGCAGATTTTTTATTTAGTGACCGACTCTCCTCAAGATTTAGAGAAAAAACAGGAAGAAGAGATCGAAGTCGTTCCAGCGTCTTGTTTGACACACAACTTAGTCTTTCTTGACAAGTATACAGAATATCGCATACAAGTTTTAGCGTTTAATCCGGCCGGAGATGGCCCACGATCTCCGGCAATTACTGTGAGAACGAAACAGGTAATTTTCTTAGACGTATTACGTCGTAAATATTCCATGATAATAGCAATGTTCAGTGTTGATATTTTCGATAAAAACACATATTTATAAACGATATTTAAACTCTGGTATTCAACATAATTACAGGATATACCAGGACCACCATATCATTTGCAATTTAACGAAATTACCATGACCAGCTTGCGCGTTTCTTGGAACCCGCCGAAATTACGCAATGGCGAGATAGTTGGTTACATCGTTACTTATGAAACTGCAGAGCAAAATGATCGTAAGACAAATCAATGTCTCTATTAAAAAGAAATCATTTAACGTTAAGAATTTAACTTTACATTTTTTAATTATTTCTTTATTAACTATTATTACTTTTTTAATTATATCACCAGAACATTGCGCTTTTTTTTAATAATGTACTCAAATGTCTATTGTTCTTTATAAACGAATTTTATTCCGAGAAAAGTTGATACATATATTAAACTCACTTTGCAAAAATTTAATTATGATATATTTCATATTTATCTTTTTGCTAACTTGTCGACATATTTTATCTAAGGTTTCAGTAAACAAGTTAAACAAAAAGTGACGGAGACAAGTCTCCTTATTCAACCACTGGAAGAGGAAGTGACGTATACCTTCATGGTTCGCGCGCAGACGATCGACTTCGGACCGTCGATATCCGGCAATGTTACAACTGGTCCGCAAGAAGGTTCGCCGATGGAGCCCAGCAATCTCGGCGTGACCAAGACGGTCTCCAGTGTGGAACTGCAATGGATTAACGGTGCTTCCGGCAAAGGTCCTATACTTGGTTTTTACATCGAAACTCGTCGTAAAGGTAAATATATGATCTTTACACGCGAGATCGCGTGTTACATTTATAGAAAAGAGTTAAAAAACTCTGTTACGGCACCTATTCAAAATTTTTTATTATTTTACACTACTGTTTATCGAAATTGCAATAGAAAATACAAAATGTAATGCGACTAATTTCTTTTATTATAACTAGTTTATGAAATAAATTTTGATCATATTGCAAGCATTTGTTGGAGTTGCAATTTCACGAAACAAGAATATACAACTATATATATATATATTTAAAAAAAACATATATATATTTTTTTTAATAAATTCAGCGTAATATCGTCATATTATTTTACATTTGCGTCCAACTCGACTACCGGTTCTGCTAACACTAATACCGTCTTTTTTATAACTGTATAGCGATGGAAGAATGGCAGCATTGTAAGTGTCAACACACGTAACTATGCTGAGCGTCAGTCATTGCATTTAGATGGTTTTGATAGTGAGATCCCTGTTAGCGTAACAATGTCGCTTTTGACAGTCCGTTGTATATATTACTATGTGTACCACGTGTACCGTGGTCGTTTGGAAATTCCAATAATTTGCATGATAATGTCATAGCATGACATCGCCAGAAACCTATTTTATAGTTCAAGCAGGATTTTACTAAAAATATATTAACTTCATGTAGCGCTATAACATGATTGTCTATATCATTCTGACAAAGAAATGATTGATTATATTAGCGTGATTTGTTGTACTGTCCATTGGTAACGCCACAGTTTTTGTTATTTAGCCCCCCTTCCCTGCAATTAATCTCGTTTTTAACATTTTGGCGTGCAGATGTGTGCACACACGATATTTTCCATATGTCGTATAATAGCAAAACAAAGAATATCGATGTTACTCTTCAAAAAATTTCACACAGAAAATGGCCGGCATTCAAAATGTTAAAATAGTCATCAGACTAATACGAGCTCCTACTTATTTATTATACGTAATGTCTTATTTCTATCGCATTATTTTTTATAACATTCTTTGGCTAATTTGAAATCAACTTTTCCTTAAGAAAAATATCAACGTTAAATACTTGAGTGATTGAAAGTGGAGGATTTTTGGCAAATTAAGTTTGAAAGAAAAAATTAATGGCGAAATTATATTCTTCAGGGTTCCAAAAATTACAGTGATCAAAACTATAATTTACGTGATGTGAGCTAGAGGTAGTTATGTTTTAGAATGTAGTTAGTTTAAAAATAAACATACAATAATTTTTTTATTATAATAAATAAATTATATAAAGTTGAGTCTTTTGCTACAAAATTTGATTTATTTATTTGATTGAGAGATATATGATATTGAAATGATAGAGTTTCGAGGAAAAGTCGACTCCAAATTGATCGAAGAATCTAACATTGAAAAATCATGTACAAATGGGACATTCCGTATAAAAGAATTTGATTATACATACATATGCGTATGTAAACAAAATAATGTGTTTTTCGGAAAGGAAAAACTTTTTCCTTTGCTATATTTCAAAGATTATAACGCGGTTTATGTATGTAATTATAGACGATTCACGTTGGCAGACAATAGTTCGTACCAGCAATGGACCATTGACGGAGTATACTGTGTCTTATCAAAATTTACTACCGTCCACATCGTATTTGTTTAGAGTAATATCATACAATCGTTATGGAATCAGTTATCCAGCGTATTCCGCCGAAACGGTAAGTCTATTTAAAAAGAAATGATTATTTATTTGGACATTAAATTTACTTTGTGAATATTCATTATTCTGATACTATACTTTCATACATACATTTATTTATTTAAAGACACATAATCTATTGCGAGCTAACATGTTTTACTAATGCAATTACTTTACCAGATTTTAACACCTTCGAAATTGTACCTGGAATACGCATACCTGCAACACAGGCCGTTTTACAGGCAGACCTGGTTCATGGTTACTTTAGCAGCTATATCAATTATAATTATCATTATGGTCATAGCAGTATTATGCGTGAAGAGTAAAAGCTACAAATACAAACGTAAGTCAAGTTTAATGTGCATATAAATTCAGTCATGAAAAATCAGATTATGTTAGTAGATCGCTTATCTACAATATGTTACATATAATTTATATATTTATAATTATACTGCAGAAGAGGCACAAAAGACTCTGGAGGAGTCGATGGCGATGGACGCGGACGACAGGCAGGAGTCAGACTTAGAATTGTACAGATCACGCCAGGGTGGAGGCGGTACCGTTAACGCGGCAAGCGGCACTCTGGGTAAAAGAAATACATTGGCTCGAAAGGCGATGCATCCTCCGCCACCCACGATGCTGGGCAAATCGCCTCCCAGGCCTTCTCCAGCGTCGGTCGCCTATCACAGCGACGAGGAGAGCCTCAAGGGATACGATGAGAATCCTGACGACAGTAGTGTCACGGAGAAGCCCTCCGAAATTAGTTCCACCGATTCTCAGGTGATTCTTCATAAAATGTAGGGCAATGCGCATCTCTGACAACGTGAATCTCAAACTCGTTTTTATTTCACAGGGTTCTGAGAGCGAGAACGAGAGTGTGCAGTCTGATCCACATTCCTTCGTGAATCACTACGCGAACGTGAATGACTCATTAAGACAATCGTGGAAACGGCAGAAACCCGTCCGGAACTATTCATCATACACGGACTCCGAGCCGGAAGGCAGCGCGGTTGTTAGTCTGAATGGCGGTCAGATCATCATGAATAACATGGCCAGATCGAGAGCGCCGCTTCCCGGTTTTTCGTCGTTCGTGTAATGAAACAAATTACCAAGACTACGTTAAGATAGGAACTTTTTTATTCCTACATCAAAATTACTATCGTTCTTAGCTACTTCGTTCTTAGCGAAGTCTTTATAAATATACGTATATAGAGCGAAAGACTTATGTCGGGAACACGTGTGTTTCGCATGTGCTCCTGCGACGGCATAGACTTATAGCAAACTGTAGGAAGCTTCAGGCATCTTCGTATTGTGATATATTGATACATATATTATTTATAATTTTCGATAAGACATTTTGCATTTAATACTTTTGTACTTTCTCGGATTAGCTTTAAGAATCAAACAGCTAACGTACGAATCTCGTACAAATATTTTACAAATTTCGTGCCTGTGCAGAACAGAAAAGTGTAAGTCCAAATATCATTCTTTTTTTCAACAGATATTTCGGTCTTATACCCTTCTATTTCTCAGGTACGCAATTATAGGTACATAATTATATTCGATCCTGAGAATCTTGTATTCTTTAAAGGTATTTATATCGTCGACACATTTATAAACGATAATCGGGATCATGAATATCGCAGAATTTTCAGAAAAAATATCCATTCAGACTTAACATTGCAATCGTTGGCCTATCATATCATTTTATTAATCCAGTAAAAACTTTAATAAAGATCGCGAATTGTGGGGCACTGTATAAATCCACTCTTATGCTGGCGTATTTGCACTACGTCAGACATGCTTGTAAATATGTTATATACTTCCTGTAAGAATGTAGATTTTGTATAATGCTGCTATACATGTATTTAGCGGACTATATCTATCGCATTCGCATTTTGTGATAATACAGTAAATGCTCCATAGTCGTGGGACTTACATTTTACTAAATTGTCACGAATACGGAATCGCGATTCTGAAAAATAAAATGTGTGTAGAAAGAGTAAAATTTGTCACAAAAGTATATGATATACATAAAATTTTATAATTTATATATTTATACATACATGAACATATTTTTTTTATCTTTTATGCATCTTTCCTAATTCGTTTTATTTTAAAATAAGAATTACTTCTCAGAACTGTCAAAAAACGTTATCCTTTTTATCTTCGTTATTATAATAAATGAAATATCTTAGGCCCGCGAATAGGAAATATGCAAATATATGGAGCTTTTATTGTACATAAATATATCATAGTTGAGATACAGTATTCATATCTTCTTAAACATTCTCGTTTTATTAACGTCCAAAGTCGGGGTATCAAATGGAACTACGACGATAATATATGTCAAATTTATTGTAACTGTGCGAATAATGAAACTTAAAAGACAGGAGAAAGAGAAGCCTAATCTAATTAATAATTACGAAGTAAGACTATTATCGCTTCGTATTTCATTCATTCATAAAAAACGGTAAAATATTTAGATATAATTTTATTTTAGACAATTGTGTTATTTTTTTAAAAGCAAATTCTACGAACACGTCGTGAGATGCAGCGAAAACATTTTCTCCTTTCGGGAAAATGATTCTACAGAAACACTTCGACGTTTCCGCGACACTGCCAGTGAACGCTTATTGCAAATTTTAATTTTATTTATATACTTCCACGCGCGTATTTGTAACGACGTAAGAAAAAGTATAAAAATCAGCTGTAATGTCAATCTTATAGGACATTGAGAAAAAATCTGTTAATCTTTTAATAAAAATTTATGCCATTTTGAAAAAAGTTTTCTACAACAAGCTGATTTATTTACCAATTTAGAATTACTACGTATTTGTAAAAGTCAATATTTGTATAACTAATTTTTACACATATTTCTATATTATACTAATTCATTAAATTTTTTATAAATTATATATTCCCGCGACGAAGGAGTTCTTGTATCAAATGGACATATAAATCAATAACGCACGATTTTAGGAATAAAAAACAATATATTCATATCCATTTATTAACATATCAAGATTTTTATAAAAAGGAAATAGTTTATTTGTTGTAATTATTAATCGTCAGTAAAAAAATTTTCGCATTGTATGTACCACTTGTGAAGAACTGGTGGTAAATCTGTTTCGTGAAATTGTTTAATTAGAGACCACACTGCAATATCTACAATGTTGAATCCACCCTTGCAAGACCATTTCTCAAATTCATTGGCTAATGTAATCAATCCATCTTTTATACATTGTTGACTGTGTAAGAAATTGGCGAAGTCAAGCGCAAAGTCCAATGTTTGTGGTTGCGAGCACGTGCTCTCGTAATTGTGCGATTCTATCAATCTGCTCATTAATCTAAGAAAATTGACTTCACCTCTTATGGGACAGGAGTACGTATTTACAACTATCTCCATGTCCGGAACTAAAAATGAATGCAATCAAATATAAGATATTTAAATAAATCGTTAAAGAAAAGTGTATTCTAATATAAGTGGACGATGAAAAGTTTGATTGTAAGTCTGATTTTTTCCAAAATTTCATGCATCCCCAATTAACAAAATAAATAATTACATGAAAAGATGCCTTTTTTAAAGACGAAGATTGTGTCTTACCATCTTTCCATATCAATATTAATTGTATGGCTTTTTTAGAAGGAAGAATCCGCTTAGGAAAAATAATAGGTATTTCATCCTTCATAGTAGAATGAATATGCGATATCACATTAAAGTGGATGTCTTTCCAAAGTTTCTGCAAAGCCAATATTGAATACGGCGGTTTTCTTGGATTGACATTCAATACTAGGTGGCTGATGATTGGTTTCTGTAAATGTACAACTATCCCTAATTTGAGCCTTCTTATTATGCAATAATTAAATAAAAATGCAATTTTATTATAAATGATGTAGCAATTGATGCATTAACCATAATTATTAATTAAATGTAAGAAATTTAGTAAGTAATTATAGTTAACGTATTAATTGCTAACCTGGACTTGTACAGAATCTTTCACTTCCGTCTGATTAGATTGTTTCACTTCCATTTGATTAGACTGTTTTAAGAAATGACATAGTGTAGAGACTTGCTTTTTGAGTTCTGCCAATTGGTTAAGAATTTTCTCTTGTCTAGCTTCTAATAATTCATATTCTGGTAAAGGTACCTAAAAAGAAAAATATTATATAATTGTTACTCTACTTATACATTATTTTATACTCTGTGTTAAGACATTTATTCAATAATATTTAAATCAAACATTCGCCATACATATAAATACTAAAGAAATTATATCACAATGTTGTTCAAAATTTGTAATTAAGGTATTGATGTTCACGTCTTTGTTTTTTTTTTAAATGAAGGTAGAAAAAGGAAAACAACCAAGCCGTGAATGCTAATACATGTTGAATCAAAGTTTATATATGACACCTATGCCATGATACTTGCACCTAACGATACGAATATAAAATCTACTGGAAGATTTTTAAGATGTTACAAAAAAATATTAACAAGAAAGATTGAATGTACTCTACTATATAAATAAAACATACATATTGTTCTAGATATAAATACATACGTCAACAATGTTTGACTGAACACTATAAGTAAATTCTCTAAGCAAAATTCTTTTGTTCTCGGTTCACATAGACATGCTAGATCAAAATATCAATACTGAGTAGATATTAAAGAATAACAGAAATAAATCTAATTTTATATAAAATGAATAATCATCCTATTGCTAACGCAGACATGATGATACAATACAAATATCCTTTCTAACTGCTGTAAATCTAGATATGTAAATGAAGAGAATGAAATTTTTAACGATCTTATCGACCACAGTACTTTTTAATTGAACTTTTTGCACAGTTTATTTTTCCTCTCTTCTTCTCAACAGGAAAAGAAAAAATGCAAGATAAACCAAGAAGATCAACTAAAAAGAACAGATTTAATTACAAGTATAATAACTACACATGCCAAGTTATCCTACACTAAATTTACCATGCTGCTGAAATTTTTGACAGATAAACACAGCCAACATAAAACCCGGCAAACAAATATATCACGTGTGGAATACTTTAAAGGCGATAAATTCCCACACCGATCGGTTCACGAGGATCGTTCGGTCAAGCTCGACGTAATGATATCAACTGATATCATTAATGATAACAACGGCGAATTAACCCTCGTTTGTAACGGTGCAACGAAACTTTTGTCTGCTTTTCCGACCTTCGCACTTCTGACAGTTATGACAATCGGAATCGCGCGTCTCCTTCTGCGTGCAGAAGTTAAATAGTCCACACCATCGCGGAATACCACCCGCGCTTCTTTCGTGCGTTTATGCCGTATTTCAATGATTTCGATCGGCATGCCTTCCTTCTGTTCCACGAACCAATTTCCGCGGAAGACCGCCGACATTTCCCCCGAGAATCACTCGAAAAAAAGGGATCCCAGGAGGGAGGAACACATCGATCAAGCCTCTCGAGGCGGAGAGAGAGAAAGAGAAAGAGAACCGCAGCACGTCGCTGCTCCGCTCTCCTGGTCGATTACGGATCAGTGTGCCCGCGGAAATTTTTGGGAAGTCATCATGTCTCGCTCGTTCGGACGACCGCGACCGCGACCGAGGCCGCGATCGACAGCAACCGCGTTCGCCAGCCACCGCGACCACGCGCGCGGTCACGGGCGGTATATCAACCGCAGGTTCTGGTCAAACGGAAACGAAACGGAAACCTGCAGAAGGCGGATAACCTGCGAGACAACGACGTCGTCGGGCATCTTGGCTTCGGTGGCGGTGGTATTGGCGGCATCGTGGCGACAGGGCCGAGTGTCGTCGATCGTATCTTCGTGAATATTTCGCATTTTGTACATGGAACTCGAGTGCGGAAACTTCGCGGGTAGGACGACCAACGGTTGTACCGGGTACATCCTCGTCGACGTTGTCGCCATCGTCGCGTGGCTGCTCATTTTGCAACCGAAACGATCCACACACGTTAAGTCGAAAAATCTATCGTCCCATGTCCCATTCTCGTTCGCTCGTACTCGCGCACTCTCGCGCCACGCACGACCACGTTTCCTCGTGACGTCATGGTTGCGCTGCGTGCCGAGAGATGGCGCGCGAGCGTCTCTCCGTCGATAACCTCAATCTCGTTGTTCGTTGATGCTCTTTTTCTCGATCTTGGATGCTAAGATGCTTTCCATTTGGTAACACGACTCTGTTTCTTCTTCCTTTTCTTCCTCTTCTTCTTAAAAGCTGTTAACTGTCCTTGTTTCTGTCATCGGAATTGATTCGGCCAGATATAAAAAAAACAAAGGAACGCATACACCATTTCACGTTTGCGAATCTCAATTAGTGGATGATGCAATCGTCACATAAGTCGACACAAGGCGACAAGTGTCTAATCTTCTTATTCATGGAATGCCAAGAAAGATATGTTTATGAAATGGAAAATATTCAAAAAGGCTCCAAAAAAAATCATGCCTTTGCTTTCTATTTCTTGCTATCACTTTTTGTCACTTTAAATTTTCACCTTTTATACCTCTATCTACCAATATTTAATTTACTCATCTTTTTCTAGTTTTTAGAACTAGGAAAAGATGAAAATTTAGTTTGATTCAACTATTGATAGAAACAGACATTATCTAGTTTCTTCATTTTGTCTGAAACAATTGGAGATAAAATGTCAATGAACTTCGAACTTGCAAAAACATATGAAGAGGAACACAATTGTCGATAAAGTTGACACAAAGAATTCGGAAATAAGCACGAAATGAAAGCAAAAACTACATTTAGCCTTTGGGTTCGAAGCGACAAACTGTTTTGAGCTGAACTTTTTGCATAATTCATCTTTTCTCTTTCTCTCCAACGTGAAAAAAAAAAGGAAAAATTAATCTCGTATGAAGTTTAGCTAAAAAAAAAAAAACTAAGCCTTCGGTTCCCTCGTCATTCCTGACGAAAATTTCTGGCAAGAACTTTCATTTTTCTCGCTTATATTTCTTATTTCGAAATTACCTTATCCATCGAATCGAGACTCGCGCGAGAAGGTTGAATCTCGAGAAGACTCGAATCTCTGTAGATGGCGCGATAGGAGTGATCGGAGAGTTCGCAATTCGCGAAAATTCACACGAACGGTTTCGCGAGCAAAGTGAAAGAAAAGGAACAAAAAGCCTCGCAATTTCGCGTCATCGAGATCGACATCGTACGACCCACGAGAACGCAGTTTTACTGAAACGCGACCGCGAGACCGCGAGAGGTTATCGATCGAGGAACGTATACAAAATGGCGGTGTCGCGTCATCGGTAGTGTCCTCTATCAACGAATTCTCGCACGATCGCGTATCTGTGGCCATCCTGGACTCGTGTACGCCAAGAAATATCACGACTAGAACGTACGAAGAAACGGATTGTGTCGCCTATTTTGTTGCAATCAGCATCGTTCGTCTATCATCGACAATTCTCTCATCGTGCATCCTACGCGAGTCCGCGTTGCTCCGTGCTCGCGAGATTGCGGTTAGAATTACGTTTTTTTTCTTTCGAACGCGCTTGTGCCGCCACCTATCTCGTACGTCGATCTGACAGGGGCCAGCGGACGGGAAGATACGGTGGAAGCGATTGGAGCTCGCGGGCGTCTCGGCTGAATCGAGGAAATTTGTGTGATCCGACGTGGCGCGACCCACGACGTTCGTCATCCGGATAATCGAGGACATCCCGAGGGATCGTAAAGGCATCGTGATCGAACGGTACGTACGACAACGGTCGCTCGGTCGTCTTTTCCATCGTAGCTGGTCGCCAAACGGCCGACATGGCGGCAGGGCGATGAGCCAATCGCAGCGCCGCTCTCTCGTGCCGCTCCGCCATTCAACGACGACGACGACGACGACTCCATTCGCCCGCTGCCGCCACCGACATTACCACCACCACCACCGCTACCAGCGGCGCAGCTAGAGACCCCCTTCTGGCGTAATTCGCGTCGCCGATCTCGCTATCTCGAATTTGGCGAGTGCTTTTTTTCAACGTTACGCACGGCGTGCCGAACGAGGAACGGCACGCGAACGAGAGTGACGTGCGGTGACGTGCATGCCGCAGAGGCATCGCGTCGCGGCGATTGTGTTTGGTCACGTGATCGCGCAGAACCGACCGTCGGCCGCGAGAAATGGCGCAAAGATCAGAGTGCATCGGACATCATGGATGGAACCAGCTCCTTTCCGCGGCGATGTTGTCACTTGTGTTTGTTTACAAGCGTGCGAGCACGCGCGCCACGTGCTGAGTGAGGAGGCACGATCAGGAGAAGAGAGGAGAGGAGAGAAACGAAAAGAGGCGGTGAGCGAGGTGTGCGGTAAGAGGCAGAACAGACAGGTAGGCTCCCAGCGTGTAATCCCCCCCGCGTGGAATCGTGTTCCGAAAGCGAGGTTGACGGCACCGGTGCCGGTGAGGACGACGACGACGACGACGATCATCGAAAGTACCACGGCGACGCACGACAATAATGACGGGCAGAGGCTCGAAGAGGCGGGGGCGCCCGCCCAAGTCCGTGGTAATGGAACGACCAAAGAAGTTCCAGTATCACCTGATGAAGAAGCCCAAGTATCTACAGAACAGAACAGCCGGTGTCCTCGGTGGTGGCGCCGAGACGCCGAGCTCACAGCCGAGCACGCCGACGGCATCGCGTCCAACATCGCCATCGGTCGAGAGTGAGGAGAGCAGCAAGCGCAACACAAGGAATCAGCGTAAGTCACGCAGTGGTCGTGACCGACACTCCCGCAAGGGTGGTCATGCCGGATCCACAGGTGGTGCCTATCAGCGTCGTGGTTACAACCCCAATGTGGACTATCACGACTCTGAATACCACTATGGCTCCGATTTCGGCGATGAATCCAGCGAGAAGAGCGAACCAGAGGAAGACCCGTTGCCAAGCGATATAGACTCTTCTGAGAGCATAGAGGAACCCGATCCCTCGAGTGATAGCGATTTTTCACTATCCAGTTACAGTACTACTAGTGGCACACCCAGAAAAACTTTGCTCGCCCAACAACGGCCGCCTAGTCCAGAGCCATTGTGGCTGCAGAACAGAGAACTGCCACCGTTAGTGTTACCCAAGTCCTCGGATGATCTGTTGGTCCCTAAAGAACTGGTCATGCCATCGCTCTCCATCTACGAAGTACTCAGGCACTTTCGTACCCTGGTACGTCTCTCTTCCTTTAGATTCGAGGACTTTTGCGCCGCTCTTATGTGCGAAGATCAAACTAACTTGCTGGCAGAGATTCACATTATGCTGATCAAGGCACTGTTGCGAGAGGAAGACTCACAACAGACGCATTTTGGTCCACTGGATCAAAAGGATTCGGTGAACGTTAGCTTGTACTTTGTGGACTCCATGACATGGCCAGAGGTGCTACGTTCATATGTGGAGAGCGATAAGGGTTTTGATCAAAACATTTTACAGACATTAACCACTACTGAATATCCTTTTACTGCCATCGAGGATAGAATCAAGGTCCTACAATTTTTAACAGATCAATTCTTAATAACAAATCCCGTGAGAGAGGATTTATTGCATGAAGGTATAATAAAATACATTTTACATATACATAACATTTATATTCTGTAACTTTTTATATATACATATTTAGAATAGCATGATTATATCCAAAGTCAGCAAGGAAAAAATTTACCGTGTCCATGCTGATGTATCAGTTACTTGTATAATAACAGATATTTTTAATCAAAAAAGATGCGAAATTAAACAAAGTTGATGCTTTATATTTAAAATACATATCTATTAAGATATGATTTATTAAGCTTGACATTATTTGAATACTTTTACAATTGATAAATTATTATTTGCAGACGAATCTCTCTATTTTTTTAAATTAAGCTATTTTTTTTAGTTTATTTTAATTTCTAAATTACATGATCTCCAAATTTTGTAAAAAAGTTCGTTTTATATAAATTATTTCGAATTATATATTTTAAGAATATATTTGTTACACAAATATTATTTTTGTGTGGTTTTACACTTTGTAACAATTTTTTCATGTAAACATTTTATGATTTAAAATATATTTTTTGTTTGCAAAATTATTAATATTTTGAAGTTAATTAATTGTTTAGGTTAATTCCTTCTATTTTTGTAAAATATTGTAATGACAAAGAAAACTTGAGATTTATCGAGAGAAAGAATATGGAATGGACAAGATCTATGCATTTTTCAGGAACTATGCATTATGATGATCACTGCAGAGTATGCCATCGACTAGGAGATCTGTTGTGTTGTGAGACTTGTCCAGCTGTATTTCATTTAGAATGTGTAGAACCACCTCTGGTCGATGTTCCTACTGAGGATTGGCAATGTAGTACATGTAAAGCTCATAAAGTGATCGGTGTCGCGGATTGTATTCCTGACGTTGAAAAGAACGGATCGTTATGTAGACAAGAGCATTTAGGATTCGACCGACATGGCAGAAAATATTGGTTTCTTGCAAGAAGAGTTTTTGTGTAAGATACATTTTAATATACCTGCATGTCTAATTAAGATTTTGTAAAATTTCAATTATTTTATTGTATTTATATTTAAAATATTTTAAATTGTATCTCTGTATCTTGCAAAAGAAATATTTATAAAAGTTTACGAGATGTTTTCAATTTGAAATTATAAATCTGAATATACAGAAGACAAGCAAAAGATATGCTTCTATTTTTATATGCGTACACATATAATTTTAAATGTTTATGATTTTTTTTCTAGTGAGAGCGAAGATGGTGAGGTATGGTATTATAGTACATCTTTACAATTAGAGGAACTAATGCTTGCATTAGATCAAAATGAAATGGAAGTAGCGCTTTATCGTGAATTATCAGATTACAAAGAAGAAATAGTCCGTCAAATGGAGCTTACAGAGACTATTACTAATCAGTTTAAAGGAAACAAGAAATCATATCTAGAAACAGAAAACAGTAAGATCAATTTTCCTTAATTAACATTATTTTTTAAATTTCTTTTAATTAACATTGAATATCAAATTTTATATCTATTAAACGATATTTTTAAAAATAATTAATTGAAATATTTTCTTTAGATCTTGTACAAAAGATGCAAAAAGAACGACAAGAGAAACAGGAGAAAGAAGAGGAAGAGAGAAAGGAAAAACAAAGGCAGGAAGCAGAGGAAATGATACGCAAGATGCACGAGGGTACAGATGCTCTTGATGAACGTACTACTGTAATGACGGAACAGGGTGAAACAAAAATCTCTGGTGACGAGTCGACTCCAGCTACACAAGTACCTGAAGTGGTCGGCGAAACTGTTGAGGTCGACGCCGAAGCGTCAAACACGACGAATACGGACAAAACTACAAAA